ATGGAGCACTGGGTGTTATGCACAAACAATGAATCATGGAACACTTCATCTAAAACTAATGATGTAATGTATGGGGATTAACATAAGAATAAAAAAAAAAGAAAAAAAAAGGGCATGTACTGAATGGAGCACTGGGTGTTATATGCAAACAATGAATCATGGAACACTACATCAAAAACTAATGGTGTAATGTATGGTGATTAACATAACATAATTAAAAAAAAAAGATGAACCCAAGGAGGTCTACATCAAAACACATAATAATTCAAATGTCAAAAATTAAAGATAAAGAGAGAATCTTAAGAGCAACAAGAGAGAAATAATTAGGTACAAGGGAAACCCCAACAAGCTATCAGCTGATTTTTCAGCAGAAACTTTTCAGGTCACAAAAAAGTGGCATAATACATTCAAAGTGCTGAAAGGAACAAACCCTACAATTAAGAATACTCCCCTGGCACTGCTCATGGGGGGCCCAAGTGCTTCTCTTTGAGGCCCAGTGGAAAAAAAAAAAAGGACTACTCTACCTGACAAGATTATCATTCAGGATTGTTAGAGAAAAACACCATATAATCCAGTAATTCCACCACTACCCAAAGAAAATGAAAACACTAATTCAGAAAGATTTATACACCCCTATGTTTATTGCAGTGTTATTTACAATAGCCAAGATATGGAAACAACCTAAGTGTCCACTGCTAGATAAATAGATATAAATGATATTACTTACACACACACACACACACACACACACAGGAATATTACTGAACTCTAAAAAAGAATGATATTTTGTCATTTGTGACAACATGGATAAACCTAGAGGGTATTACACTAGGTAAAATAGGTCAGACAGAGAAAGAAAAATACTGCATGATTTCACTTACATGTGGAATTACATTACTAGACAATGAACAAACAAATAAACAAAAAACAGAAGCAGAATTATAAATACAGAGAACAAACTGGAAACTGGTGGTTGCCACAGGGGAGGGAGCAAGAGTGTGGGTGAAATAAGTGAAGGGGATTAAGAGGTACAAACTTCCACTTATACAATAAACAAGTCATGGGGGTGAAAAATAGTACAGCATAGGGAATATAGTCAAAAATATTGCAATAATGTTGTATGGTGACAGTAACTATACTTACTGTGGTGAGCATAGTATAATATTAAGAATTGTTGAATCATTAGGTTGTACACCTGAAACTAATATAACATTGCTGACATTGTATAGCAACTATGCTTCAGTTAAAACAAAGAATACTAAACTTACGTTATGCTCTTGATATAAGGCAAAATTTAAGGGCCATGATCCAAACTTTGGAAAGAAGCTCCCTTGCTGCCCACCATTCCCAGACACTTCCACACAGCAATTTGCCTTGATTGGCTGCTTCTCCTTCATTGTTTTAGCAAGTGGCAGGAGCTACTGAAATAGTAGGTTTGTGGTTGGTTAATTTTTGTCCTGGCATACTAAGAACACGAGGCCCCTGGGAGAGATGTCTTGCTTGTCACCCACAGACTTCTGGGACCTCTTTTCTCTGGTCTTTCTCTTTTAGCACTACCATTGAAGCTATAACTGCCATAAATCTGTATGCCCCTAATGAAATTTGGAAAGTGAGTCAGCTCATCTTGGAGAATTTGTATCAGTTACAGTCTCTTCCAGTTTGCCTCACTACCAAATACACTTTTGACTGTAAGAGTTAGCTGAAAGCTGAGGTGTTGAAATGATGGGCTTTATTTAAAAGATTAACTTAAAAAGAGAAAAAGTGGATTTCCCCTCTCGTAGCAAAGTTTCAGATTTGATTTATATGTGTGGTTTTCTCTCTAGCCTAAAAGACACAGATACTTAAGTATACCCTTAGACTTTCTACAGAGAAGGGTTGTGGGTGTGGCAGTGTCAGCTTTGCTGTTAAAATCTTAGATGCCTTCCTATGTCAAACAAAAGAGAAGACTGACAATAGTACACCCATTGGGAATTTTTTAAAGAAACTAAAGAAATGGAAGGAGCGTTGTTCAGTCCCAGGACTGAATGATTAGTGTCTATCCCTGTTCCTTACAGCCTATTTTGATTCAATGGTGGGTTATCTCTTTGTCTGGTTAATTCCCATAGCACTTTGCTTGCACCTGCCTTATATTTACTCCTGCTATTTTATACTGCAGCTGTTTGTTCATCCATCTTAAATCTTTTGTTGAACTGGAAGCTCCTTGGAGAGAGAAGGACAACCTTACATATATTTTTATCTTCAGCAACATATAACATAGGAGGAAATTTTAAAATGAGGAAAGAAAGAAAATTTCTTGAGCATGTATTATGCATTAGGCAAATGCAAGGTGTTAGTATATGAAAGGGTACAATAACAAACTTGTGTTCCCTGCCTTACTTTTGCATTAATTGAGATCTAATCCAACATAAGCAGATGTAGATAAAATATCAGCTTTATTTTTCTAACAGTTGAAACTGGAGAATATTTAGGGGTGTAGCAACAGTGGGCTTCCTAAAAACATATGCAGAGTTCGGCAAATGCTCTCACCTGGTTATAGGTGTAGCTGAAAAACCTCACTCTTCCCCATGTGGGGTTCTGCTCTTGTTAAACATATATCATAGCAGAGAAGACCAGAATGAGAACTTTCTGCAGGCATTTGCAGATCCTAAAGAGGAGATAAGAAGGTGGGTTAAATTCTACAGTTTCTTTCCCCAAACATATAGCTTGCTTCTTCAAACTTGCCAGTGAGATAATTTGTTCTTTCTCCTCTGGAAAGAAGGCAGTGAGGAGGAGGCAGAGAGATGTCAGGATTGTTAGACTAATGAATATCCCTCTTCTATGGTCATGCAGTAGGGGAAAGGAGGCTTTTCCACCACCAGGTTGTTTTCATACAACATCTCATTTCATCTTTCAGTCTATATCAGGTTAGGTAGAGTGATTCTGGTTTTATAAATGAAGAAGGGAAAGCCCACAGATATTAAGTAACTTGTTCTAAGCTTCAGAGTTAGTTAATGTCAGTCAATATTTAAACCCAAAGTGCATGCTCTTTAACATGGTCCACAGTGGATGGGTCATACACATGTTTGGTGAATGAATGGATGGGTGGATGGGTGAAAAGGAAGAAAATTTTCATACATTTATGCATTGACCATGATAAATCCCAAGAATTTTAAGTGATTCAAGCTTTTAAACATAATGAATTCCATATTGTAAATATGTCTTGATAAATTCAAAAAGGATAACTTTTTTTTTTTTAAGTTTATGAGGAAAGACTGTATGGGAATTTTCGCAAACTGTTCTCCATTTATATCATCCCAATATACTGTCAACTCCTGGAAGTCAGGGAAGTACTACTACTACCTAACACCAGCAGAAGTTCCGAAGTCCCCTTATAGATGACTATTAAGAGAAGAAATGCACAGAAGTAGATAAATCCTTAATAATTTCTTCAAGTGAATTGTATGAACTCAAAACCAAATATGTATGCATTTATATATGTGGGTGGATACAAGGATTGACAGATGGATAGATAGATGATAGATGATAGATAGATAGGTAGATAGATGACAATATTTTTTCTTAAAGTGCCAACAGCCTCTGGTTTTGGGTGCACATTTTTACTAAGTTGAGAAGGGGCACAGTAGTGAGAAGAATTATTGTAAGGGAGGATTCTGATTAGCTAAGTCTTTCTGAACTAAGAAGACAGTAAAATCAAAAGGCTTAAACTTACACTTAAACCGAAGGAATATAGATTACACATCAGAAAGGCTTTCCCAATAGCAAGGGTTATTAAACAGACTATGGAAAAGATTTGCAGAACCTCCTCCTTTGGAGATCTCTGATATCAGGATAAACCACCAGCTGGTTTAGATACAGTGCTGCTTGGAGGCAAAGAGCTGGCCTGCATGAACTCTCAAAGCATACAATAAAATTACTTGCACTTTCTTTATCACAAAATAATTTTATATCTAGGATTTGTAATGATACTGAAACCCTGTGACAGAAGAAACCATATTTTGTAGTACTTCAATATTCTCAAATTGTGCAACACAGTGCTGAGCACATAGTAGTTGCCCAATGAATGTTTACTGACCAGATTGATCAGTAGAATGGCAGTTGGGAAAAGGAGAACAGGATTATTCCTAGCTCTATAAATAGCCTGAGACTTGGAGGAAATCAGTCAATTTCTCCAGGTCTTCATTTCCCTCCTCTGTTGATCATAGCCTCTGAGAGTTGAAGGCCTCTGGGACTCTTGTAGTGCTGTGACTCCATGGTTCTGATTAACCCGATCTGTATCCACTTCATGTTGGCTATCAATAATCATAGAAACGAAATAAGAAAGCTTGGCTTCTAGTGTCACTTTGTCCACCAATTAGCATTTTAAGCTGGCTCAAATAATTTAATTTCCCTGGGATTCCACCTAGAGAAGCCTTTTTTAGCCAAAAATTCTATAATTCCATGACAATGGCATACCGAGTTACATTCTCGCTTATTCATATTATCATTTCTAATGTTTTTCAGGGAAAAAATGGCTGAAAATATTATCAAAATTACTTTTAAATATTTTAACCATCAATTCATTAAACAATATACTTTTATGTCCATTTATTTCTCCCAAATGTAAATTTATCTCAAATGTTGAATCAGTGTTTATTATCAGTTCACTTATTAAAAATACTGTAATGTTAGTTACTATTTTATTTAGAAAAAAATCTTTGACTTCATGGGACTACTATGCTCAGAGAGTCACACTAGTTATAATGCTGCACCAATAACTTAGAAAAGCCACATAGAGAAATTTCAGAAAGTTCAAACTAAGCTATAAGACTTTGATTTGCCCTCTACAAGTAAAAATGTGATTTACCTTTTCAAATGAAACAGACTTGTTATCAGCAAATATTTACACAAAGACCTGCTGATAACCAAATGGTTTAACTAGGCAGACTTTAAGTGACAAACCCAGCATGATTAGAATCTGTAGATAAGGAAATGAATAAAGGTATACTGATTGTATGCTGCATGCATTTATATTTGAATGGATGGGTGTTCATCTATCCATTCATTCATTCAATCAGCATTTATGGAATTCTGCTAGGTACTAGACACCTGTTAACTAGGGATGATAAAGTGGTAAGACATGATAAGACATGGCCTTTTCCCAGAAGATATTCCCAATCTAAGAGACAGTACAACTGTGTAAATAAGTACAGTGCTCTGTGAGTTCTATACCAGAAGTATATACAACAGGAAAGGAAAGAGAGTGTAACTAAAGGCCCAGAAAGAAGAAATAATAGATTTAGACCTCCCAACAAGAACCACAGGTATTGGAAGCAGATACACAATGTAGCTATGTGTGAAACAATAAAAGAAAAGGATATTATTATAAACATGAGCATACAATAGAAAGAAACCTACAGATTTAAGAAAAATAAGACTTTTACAACTGTAAAGTTAAATTATTGATATTTGAAACTCAGTAAACTAGTTGAGCATAGGCAGTAAAGAGAGAAAAGAAAATGGAACAGATGAAAGCAGCTGTGATAGAGAATGCAAGGGTCTAAAAAGTGTATAATCAAAGTAACAGAACAAGGGGACGTTTAGCAGTTTCCTGGCCTCTGCGCACTAGATGCCAACAGCACCCCTTACTCTGGGTTGTGAAAATTAATGTCTTCAGACATTACCAAATGTCTCTGAGGCACAAAATCACTCCAGTTGAGAACCACGACCATAAAAAACATATGAGAAACAAATTACTGGCCTATTTCACTCATGGTTATGAATGTAAAAATCCTAAATAAAATAATTGCAAATTGGATTTAGTAGCAAATAAAATATTAAATCCAGTTGCATTTTTTTCCTGAAATGCAAAGACGGTTATATATATGAAATGCTATAAAGATTATAATCTGAGTTGACAATTAAAGAAAAACATGTATACATATATGTATCTGTACATATACATCAAAAACATGTATACGTATATGTATCTGTACATATATGTATATACATGCACACACCATATACCACAGTGTCCACTAGTAGGCAGTTCTTTCCCCTCTTTATTTTCCTTTTTAATTTACACCTTACAATAACCTATCTGCCATGTGAAATAGAAGCTGTGCTTTAAGTTCAAAGCTATGCCTGAGAAAAGGGGATCCCATGTAACTGAGCTAATCAGAAGCCTTCTCCACAAGTTTATAGCTCTTTAGAGAAAAGGTTAAAAAGTAAGATTAGCCAACAAGGCCACTTACAAATATTTCATTTCCATTGACAAGTAGACTCTAGATTTATTTTAATAGTTCAACCAATGTGTTGATCGGTATTTTAAAAAGCAATTCAAATAAGTTACATTCAACTTATATTAATGCAAAAAAAAAGTCTTTTCAAATGACTTTAATTCTATATCTGTAGCATTCAATACAATGGTTTTTGAAACCAACCGACACTTACTGTTACCATCCAGTAAATAAATATGAATGACTCATTAGCGCACTCACATGAATTGAAATGCTCATTTGCAGTGGCTTTAGAATACACCCAATTTCAAAATGACCTCTATTATTTTTTATTTAATTATGTATGTAAACAAATCTGAGATCACTGTATGTTCAACAATCAAGCAAGCCGGTTCTCTAGCATCACCATGTCTACCAGCCATTTAAGGAAGTGAACAGGAAAAGATCATGAGAAGTAGGAGACTGTGAGCTGGTTCTTTACTGTGGTGCATGTTCCACTCCGTACCACCATCCCAAGGCTGCATCTCGCTAAGTAGGAAGTCAAAGTTAGCTCAGGGTCACACTCTTGATTCTCACAAATCCTGACCTTGCTCTTAGTCTGTGCAAAAGGACATGGGTTAAGCGAAACCATGGAAATCACTTCTCTAAATGTTTTGACGATTATATGAAGAGTAACTAACTTCAGTTAAATATGAGATAATTGCATGTAAATGAATTAGTGGGTACAAAGTTTATCATGACTTATTAGCCTAATAGTTATTATAAACATAATTGCAATTGTTATACCTACCACCGGCTAATTGCTGTGCTGGGCACTTCAAATATATCTATAATAAGGATGACAGTGATAACAATACTCAGCCGAAAGAAACAAAGAGATTGCTGCCTGTCAGGGAAGGGAAGGGTCATGACAATGAATATTCTCATCATGTAGACCATGCTGTCTTCAGCAGTCACTGTCCCACTTTTCATTTGGACACCACGGGGTCCTTGAGTCCTCCTGTTCTCGGATATTGAATCAATAGCGAGAACACCACTGACAGATAATCTCATCAGTAATAAAGATTATCTCCCTTGAATGAAAGGAGCCTGGCTTGCCTTTATTAATTTATACTCTTCCCGCCAGAGGACCTTTCTTGGGGTGACGCCTATCTTAGGAAGGCCCAGAGGGCAGTTGCCTTTGAATACCTGCCTGCTCACCTGGGGCCTTTCTTGTTGCTGCCTGCCAGAACTTGCCAGAAGGGACTGAGCCACACTGCTTCCTGAGAATTTGATAAATCCTAACATACTCACACTTGTCTTGCGTTGGCAGTCCCAATCAAACCCGCAGCCTCAGCCCCAGTTGCCTTCAGCTGGATGTCTTGTTTATTTTGTTTTCTCCTACCAATTTATTCACATATGCCCCACCGGGAATAAACATTATCACAGGTAAAAAATAAGCATGATTTTCATAAGGTCAATGAGAAAACATAGTTAGAATAAAGACACTTCTAAGGGATCTAAAAAAAATGCTCTAGCATTTTAGTAATATGACTACATGGGGGAAATCAGAAAGGACAGTTATAAGACATCATACAGGGTTCCTTTTAATTTGGATATCTCTCCTTAGAGAACAAGAAAAGGGAGCAGTCTCTGGCCCCCATTACATTCCCAATATGGGCAATAACTGAGTTCATAAATGGGAATAAAATTCATAGTTATCATCTGAACACCCACTATATACCACCCTATGCTAAATGCTTTAGGTATATTATCTTATTTGATCCCATGGCAACTTTTGTGATTTTAGAAAGTACCATTAAAGATGGTAGGAAATTATAGATGAGGAAAGAGTCTTAGCAAGACTAAATGACATTCGCAGGGTTACCTAAATTGTTAAGTGAGAGACTGAGATTCTAACCCAGGTTTCTTTGAATCCAGCACATTTAACCCCATATTATCATGCCTTGGAACACCATTCTGTAAGGTTTTGGCTTATGTTTCAATCTTTGCCTCTAATCAGTAAACTCCTTCAGGGCAGAATTTATTTCTCATTAATTTTTATATCCGCAGAACATGGAATAATGCCTGTTAAAGAGCAGGAACTCAGTGATTGTCAAATCAACCAAATGGTGAATTAATAAATAAAGGAAGGCAGGAATTAATTTTAAAAGGAGACAGTAAATTGAAGTTTGTGAAAAAAGTGAATTCTGTATCAAGAATACTATGCCTGTGGTTGGTTTTGCGCCCCTCCATTTCCATTGTATCAACATATGAGTATTTTAGGATAAGCACCATTTTTTTACTTTAGAATTAAATGAAATGCTTTCAAAAATATGTACTTTACCCAGGGATTTAAATGAATGATTGAAATTACATAATCAGAACATGACACGACCAAACCAGCGTATAATCATATGTTTCCTATAATAAGCTACTTGAAGTGTTCTTAGGGTTACAATTTTGTAATCTAGACATGAGAGGAAGATCTGTGCTCTTGACAACATTCAACACAGGCACTTCAACTGGCTTTGGATAAAAGACAAACCCCCTCTTTTGCATTACATAGATGTTCTCTCTTTCCTTATCTTTAAGCAGACAGTCCTAACGGTTACCTTCACATCCTCTGCCATCTTCCTCCAGCTTCTGGCCAGCTTAACACTTGCAGTAATAACTGCCAAGTGTATCACAGCATTGGTTCTGACAGCCATCATTGTCAATGGCACATTCGTTTACATCTGCAATTGAATATTTAAACAGAATTAGCCTCCTCCAACCAGACACATAAAAAGACTTTGGTGGCTCTCCTAAAAATGTACCAACACAGAATGACATTATTCTTTGACCTCAGATTAAAGGAAATAACACTACAATATCTTATTTTAATTAGAGCTAATGCACTCTAATTTTGACGTAAAGGAAAAGGTAGGTCATAGCCTTTGGTATTTGAAATATTTTTGAACACTGTACTAAGGAGTTGTTTAGTCTTATGGAATTTGGAGACTTATAGTACAGGTCCAGAAATTTCATATCCAAGTCATCATTTGAGGGTGAGATTGAGAACAGAGTCACAGTGAGTCAGAACACTAGGTTGCCTATTTGTCCATTAAGTAAATGTTGTTACTGGCTTCTCAAATAAATAACTATTGAGCACCCCCAACTATATATCTGGCATTGTGCTGAGCAGCATGGTAGAGGTAGAAAAGTAGTTCCAGGGCTTCCAATGGTTAAAATCCAGGTGTGGTTGAGGACTGGTGGAGGTGTGATTTGGTTGTGTCCATGTACTGGATACATCCACACCCCATTCTGAACCTGGGGTCAGAGCTTATCTTTACAGATAAGGGTTCATCCTATCTCCCATCCAACTTAGAGCTAATAAGTATCCCAACACATCTGTAGGTTTGATAGTGGTGTGTTCTGTTCAAAAGAGGCTCCTTTACTACAGGTTCACTAGCTGACATAATAAATCTTTGCCTCAGGAGATGAGTGTAGCTGGAAGAGAGAGAGGGTAGAAAGGGCAGGGAGGAAGTGGGGAGGAGCAGGTAAAAATGGGAGAGAGGCAGAGAGAGAGAAGGAGAATGTGTTAGTCAGAAAGAGCAGAAGAAGCTGACAAAGTAGAAGCACAGAAAAAGAGGGGCTGAGTTGTCTGGACACTGGAACCCTGAGAGCAGAGCACGGATGCTGAAGGTGCAAAGAACTGACAGGCAGAGTGAGCTACAGTTCATCCTGACTGGATGTTAACTGCTTTGGTCTGAGGTATGGCTGTGCAGGTGTTGAGACTGCTTTTGTTTGTTTTTAGTTGACTTTTCATTGAAATGTGCCATAGACACAGAAAAGTATGTAAATCCTAAGTATACTGTTGAGTGAGTTTTTCAGATATAGAATATACCAATGCAACCACACTAAAGAGAACATTACCTTGCCTGGCTGAAGGTAACAACTAGCCCCATGTTTAATCACTACGGGTTACAGGTTTTGTCTTTTTGAACAGAATCATACTGTATTTGTGTGTGTGTCTGGTTTCTTTCTTTTTTTTTAAGATTTTATTATTTATTTGAGAGAGAGAGAATGAGCAGAATCATACTGTATTTGTGCGTGTGTGTGATTTCTTTCTTTTTTTTTTTTTTAAGATTTTATTATTTATTTGAGAGAGAGAGAGAGAATGAGCACAAGTAGGGGGGAGGCAGAGGGAGAGGGAGAAGCAGACTCTCTGATGAGCAGGGAGCCTGACACAGGGCTCGATCCCAGGACCTCAGGACCATGACCTGAGCCAAAAGCAGATGCTTAACTGACTGAGCCACCTAGGCGCCCCTGAGCCACCCAGTCACCCCCGTGTCTCGCTTCTTTCATTCAGCATTCTGCTTATGAGATATACACATGTTGTTGCATATACTTGCAGTTTGTTCATTCTCATTCCTGTATATTGTACAATTCTATAACTACAGCACAATTTTAATATACCCATTTTATAGCTGATAAGAAATTGGATATTTTCTTATTTGGGGGTTATTATAAAGAGTGCTGTTATAAACATTCTCACACATGTCTTCAGTGAACTCACATGTGCACTTCTATTGGGTAATATATCTAGGACTGGAATTGCTAGGTCAAAAAGTATGATATGCTTTGCTTTGGTAATTATAGCCAAATAGTCTTCTAAGGAAGTTATTCTAATTTATACTCTCTCCAATGGTATATTAGATACCAGATGCTACTCATGCATTCCTGCCAACATTTGGTATATTCTCTTTTGTTTTATTTTTGCTCTTCTGGAGAGTGCATATTATCATATTATAATTTTTAATTTGCATTTTCCTGATGATTAATTGGGTTAAGCACATTTTCATGTTATTGGCCATTTAGATAACATCTTGTTGAAGTGCTTGTTCAATATTTTGTCCATTTGTCCAGTTCTTAAAATATTGATGGCAGCCTTCTTGGAGAGAGCATATTACAGTAATATAAATTTTCCTAAAAATAAAATATTAGCTGCATCCCACAGGTTTTCTTGTGTTATAATGTGTTATCACTCAATTCAAAATATTTCCTAATCTACATTAACCCTTATTTGGGTTATTTTGAGGTATATCTTAAAGGTTTTTCAAAGATTTGAGGCATTTCCAATCATCTTGTTAGCATAAAATGTTATATCAATTCCACTGGGGACATAGTATAACTTACGTGACTTCAATTCTTCAAAATTTGTTAAGGCTTGCCAGCATATGGTCAATTTTGGCTAAAAAAATCTATGTTTACTGGAAAATAAGATATATTCTACAATTCTCAGGTGCTACGCTTTCTGTATGTATATACACAATATACATATTATGTGTATATACATATTATTTATATATTTCAAGTATGTACAAATATGTATATTTAATTAGGTCAAGTTTATTAATCACGTTTTTCATATCATTATATCTTTAAGGTCTTTTTTTTTATAAAGATTTTATTTATTTATTTGAGAGAGAGAGAATGAGAGAGAGCACATGAGAGGGGGGAGGTTCAGAGGGAGAAGCAGACTCCCTGCCGAGCAGGGAGCCTGATGCGGGACTCAATCCAGGGACTCCAGGATCATGACCTGAGCCGAAGGCAGTCGCTTAACCAACTGAGCCACCCAGGCGCCCTAAGGTCTTTTTTATATGCTTGTTGTATCAGTTAGTGAAAGTGGCATAGTACAATCTCCCTACGTGATTTTACGTTTGTCCTTTTATGACTGCAAGTTGTGTTTTATATATTTTGAAGCTCTGTTGTAAGTGACATACAAAATTAGAATTGCCACATCTTCCTAGCAAATTAACCCTTTGTTATTGTAAAATGTTCCCCTTTAGATCCAGCTATATTTCTTTCATTAAAGTTGAGGTTTAATGATCTTAGTATAGCTATATCAGTTTTCTTTTGGTTTGTGTTTGCATGACATTTTATGTTCTAAACTTTACTTTTAACCTTTTTTATATTCATCTATTCAAGAAACTATATCCATGTATTTATATCTATCTATATGTGTTATTTTAAATATTCCAATATCCTTAAGCTGTGGTTATTATATCACTGACTTTAATGTAATTACTGACATATTTGGATTAAAGTTATCATTTTACTATTTTTCTAAATTTGTATATATTTTATGTTACTTTTGCTCTCTATTATTTTGTCCTTTTAAATTTATTATTTTACTGTTCTATTTGCACTCTGTATTAGATTGTCAGTTATATATCCTTTATTATTCTTTGAGTGGTTACTCTAGATATTAAAACATCTATTATTAAATCTTAATATAAATTAGTACTTAATATAAATTAGTACTTAATATAAATGTAAAAAAAACACTTCCCTGGCAATGCTAGATACTTACATTTTAACTCCATTTATGCTTTTCCAGCCTTTATGTTATTGTTATCATGCTTTTGAATTTCAGATCTTTAGACCCTATAAGACTTATTATTATTTTATATAGTCAATAACAACTTAGACATCCATATATTTACCTTTTCTGCTATTCATTACTGCTTCCTGCATTTCTGTGTTTCTTTCTGGAATAATGTTCCCTCTGCCTGAAAATTGCTTTTAGTATTTCTTTTCATATGGATCTTCTGGCTTTTTTTTTTTTTTTTTCAGATTTTTTTTGTCAGGAACTGATATTCTTTCACTTTAATTTTTAAATAACCTTTTACAAAATTTTAGAACAGTTTTAGATTTTACAGAAAAAACTGTAAAGATAGTACAGAGTTCCAGTATAGCCCATATATTCCATATTCCACTATTATAAATCTTACATTAGTAATGGTACATTTGTTGTGATAATAAGCCAATATCGATTCATTATTGTTAACTAAAGTCCATACATTTTTCGGATTTCCTTAGTTTTTACTTAATGCCCTTTGTGACGCAGGATCCCACCCAGGTTATTGTATTACATTAGTTGTCATGTACCCTTAGGTTCTTTAACTGTGACAGTTTCTACTGCTTTCCTTGCTTTTGGTGACCTTGATATTTTTGAGGAGTTCTTAGTCAGGTATTTTCTAGAATGTCTTTCAATTTGGGTTTTTATGATGTTTTTCTTATTATTAGACTGGGATTATGTGTTTTGAGGAGGAAGATCACAGAGGTAAAGTGACATTTTCATGACATCATATCAAAGATATATATTATCAACACGACTTAGGACAGTTGATGTCAACCTTGATCCCCAGGCTGACATAGTGTTTGTCAGGTTTCTCCACTGTTAAGTTACTCTTGTTTATCTCTCTTTCCGTACTGTATTCTTTGGAATGAAGTCTTTATTCACAGCCCACACTTAAGGAGCGGAGAGTTATGCTTCCCTTCTTTGAGGATGAAGTTCTTAAGTTGATTATTTGGATCTCTTCTGCACAGATTTGCCTGTCCTTCTCCATTTATTACATCTTAATTTTTGAAGAAAATTTTCAGTGGAATAGAATTCTAGGTTGGCAGTTGTTTTAAGCATTTCAAAAGTGCTATTCCATTGTCATTTTAATTCCTTTGGAATATAATGTGATTTTCTGTCTGCTTTTAAGATTTTCTCATTGTCCTTTTTTTCTCATGTTTTACTATGACATGCTTCTGTGTGTTTTGTTTTGTACTTTCCCTCCTTAGAGTTTGTAGTGCCTCTCAATTTTGTGGTTTTATGTCTTTCAGTTTTAGAAAAATTGTATCTACCATTCATTATCTCTTCGAATATTGCTTTTGCCCTGTTTTCTCTTTTCTTCCTAGTACT